CAAAGCATGATTAAAGAATATTATGGAAGCAAGCTCTAGAAATGTTTAGTAAATAAAATGGGTCCTGACCACTGCTGTAAATGCCTTTTATTCATTCTCTGTTGATTTCTTATATTCCTTAAACCTGTTTTCAATCTTTTCCCTTTTTTTGTCCTTACCCTCAGCCTTTCTCACTCTTAAAATAATCTCCTATTACTGAAAAGAAACCAGCAATTATCCAATGAGAGCTTCCACTCCACCTCAAAATCTGTCTTCACCCTCTTCTCACTTTTTGCTTTTGCAGAAAGAAATGCCCTGCCTTCTTACCAGGGCTTAACCCCTACACAGTACTTGTAATCATACTGTCTCCTTCTGAGGATCTTAAACATCTATTCTTTTGTGTCTTCACCATATTGGCTCCTTTCGCTTGCTGTACCGATAAGTTTTGTGCTCTTATCCTAGTAACAATCATACCTACCCTACTATTTATCCTCAGGCTAAATTTGCACACACAAAAAAATCATTTACACTTACAAACTCCACTTCTTTGCCACCAATTCTTTATAATCTATCTTACTCAACCACTATATTAAAACTGCTTACAAAAGGCCACAAATGACCTTGTCATTTGGCTTAGTCATCAAATCTGAGCACATTTTCTAAGTCTGTGTCCTTCAACTATCTGTCTGCACCATTTTAGTGTTTGTTAGCCCCTTCTTCCTTCTATAAAGTCACCTTTATAACACAGTATTCTTTTCATTCTTCTTCTACCTCTATGGTTATTTATTAAATATTCCTACCACTTGTATTCCCTGAAGGTTTTTTCTCATCCCTCCTTTATCTTTCTACTCTCTCCTCAGACAAGCATTTACTGTGACAACTTTAAGTATCACCTTTCTAAAATCAACTTTTACTTCCTTACCCTGACCACCAAACCCAAATTTCCAATAGCCTACTCAATATGGCCATAATCAATATGGCCATCCTATTGTGGCTCAATAAGATCATCTAGATGGTATCTCAAACTGATTATGTCTAAGATGAAATAATTTCTCTCCACCTCACTCACTGGTACATGTTTACCTAGTCACCCAGGCTTAAAATCCCAAATTACCTTGTTTCCCCTCATTTTAAAATAAAATTAAATATATACAATATATGTTTTGATTGAGGAAAAGTCCGCTTTGTTGCCCGGCTAGAGTGAGTGCCGTGGCATCAGCCTAACTCACAGCAACTCCAAACTCCTGGGCTCAACCGATCCTCCTGCCTAGCTCCTGAGTAGCTGGGACTACAGGCATGCGCCACCATGCCGGCTAATTTTTTCTATATATATTAGTTGGCCAATTAATTTCTTTCTATTTATAGTAGAGACGGGGTCTCACTCTTGCTCAGGCTGGTTTTGAACTCCTGACCTCAAGCAATCTGCCCACCTCGGCCTCCCAGAGTGCTAGGATTACAGGTGTGAGCCATGGCACCTGGCCCCAATTATGTTCTTAACAGGTATTCTCTCTCTCTGTAATCCAGGATCCAATCAGAATTCAGATTTGTGTATAGCTGTCATGCTCTGGAATAATATAATTTCTTGTAAGTTCTAATCAAGTCCCACTGAGTCTACTTTTGAAATATCTTCCAAATTTATTCCTTTCACCATCTTGCCTTCATTCTCTCTCACTTGGATTACTTCAATTAATATAGTTTCAACCTACAAACTGCTCCAAATTAATCTTAAGATTCAGTTGTACTATCTAAGACTTGAATTTACCCCGTGTCCAAAAACCTTCAATGGGCGGGCGCTGTGCTCACACCTGTAATTAGCTCTTGGGAGGCGAGGCGGGCGGATTGCTCAAGGTCAGATTTCAAACCAGCCTGACAAGAGTGAGACCCATCTCTACTATAAAGAAAGAAATTAATTGGCCAACTGATATATATAAAAAAAAAAAAAAAATTAGCCGGCATGGTGGCACATGCCTGTAATCCCAGCTACTCGGGAGCTGAGGCAGAAGGATCGCTTAGCCCAGGAGTTTGAGGTTGCTGTGAGCTAGGCTGACGCCACGGCACTCACTCTAGCCTGGACAACAAAAGTGAGACCTGTCTCAAAAACAAAAAAAATTAAAAAAAAAAAAAAACTTCATGAGTCTCAATTACTTACAAATAAAGACTCAACTTCTCAGTCTTCAGCCTGACATTCAAGATCCTCTTACAATCGTCACA